TTACCCTTTGGACGTTCGCAGGAACTCCTGGATCCTCTTCCTTCTGGTAGCTTCCTTGACGTCTTGTTCCTCCTAAATTCTGATTCCCTTATTATTCGTTATGTATTGTTACATACTTGTTGTTCGCCTTCTCTTTCTTTCCGGAAAATGGATTTTCGATAACAGTTTCCCTCTGCCGTTGTTCTTCTCTGGCTATAGCTTTTCATGTTGCGCTTCCTGTAAATCTTTAAAATATGGGTTGATTTGGTCCATGTTAGCTACTGTTACTTCTCCATTTGCATCTTTTAAATTATTTATAGTCGATAGGTTTTTTCAAATACATATGTTTTTTGAAATCGTGGCCAAAACTTTCCTACTCTGTCTTCCTCGGCATATGATAATGAATGTTTTAATTTGAGAACTGTATGTCCCACCTTGTAATTAACTTCTCGCCTTTTCCTGTCTTAGTATGGCATTTGTTTTTCCCTTGTTATATCTACATTTCATATAGCTTCATCTGTAATTTTTTGTATATCATACATTTTACATTCTGGAGTTCTCTTCTGAATAAAAAGCAATTTATCCTGTGGGATAATTAGTTTTCTTCCTAGAAATAATTTTGCTGAATTATTCCCTTTCGTGTAAAGTTACCTGACCTTAAGGCAAATGCTAACTCACTGACACAGATATCCCAGCTTTATTATAGATTTTCACGTAGCATCGTATAATTTTAACTATTTACTTACTGACCCGCTCCACTATGTTTTATTGCTGCAATAAGCCACCATTAATTTGGGCTTTCATATTAATTTGGAAAAGAATCTGACAAGCGTTTAGCCGAGAGTGGTCTTAGGAGACTATTTCTACCCATTTAGAAAAACGATCTACGATAAAGAGTAATTGAAAAAAAAATAGCCTTTATACTATTTAGATTCTCAGCCGGGCTATAATTAATATCGATATTTAGCTGGCACATATGGCATGACCTGACATATGCATTTACAGACCTTTGCAATTGCGTAAAGCATACCACAACTCGAACTCGTTGTACTGTTTTCCTTAATCCAAGTGCGACGCAAATTAGCGAATCATGTAATTCTTGTAAGATGTTTAACCTTAAGCTAAACCTTTTCGATGTTTAACCTTAAACTAAACCTTTTAGATATTTAACCTAGAACAAATTTGAGTTTCGAGTCGGAGATAACTCGACTCTAAACTGAAATTTGCTTAACGGCTCTGAAGCAAGTTTGGTTCTATCTTTCGGTGATGAGTAACGGGATTTGAAAACGAGTAAATGTTTTTAATCCTTCAAATGTATAGGTGTTTCTGGATCTCCCAATGCATTTATACCAACTAGAAACCTGTCCTCTAAAGGCGACAGTTGCAGATGTGACTTTTTGTGCTCTTGGTAACGGACACAGTACAAATGCGAGTAAGTTACCGATGTTTTTCCATCGAAAGTCACTGAATGTGAAATGGCAGCCCGCAATGGATCTGCAATAAATCCAAATCCTTCCATGGAATTAACTGCTGCCAGTAAAGCTTGCGGCGTTAAACGGTCAGAATAAACGCAGAAATTTTTTGAAAGATGATTCTTACAGATGTTCGAGAGCCAGTATAGTATACAGCCTCAAATAGACCTTCTTTAGAAACATAAACGAGACTCAAGTTGAAGCTAAGCAAATTATTGCTATATTTTGTACGAAGATGGAAAAACGTAAGAAAGGTGTAAAAGACTCTTAATAGAAGGCATTTCTTGTACTTACGAAACCAGCCAACATTTATGGTGTAGCTCAAAAGTAATGAATTCAAATTTAACTAAATTGCAAGTTAGCCAAAGTTTACACAGACTAAATACCGTGCAGATTGCATCAGACCCGGGACAAGCCAAATGGAGAGAAAAACGAAACGCAGCAAATAGACAGCTTTCGAAGAATTTTAACCAGTAATGTGGCCAGCGGCGGAATCAGAGGAACATGCTCTGATTCAACAATCTAAAACATTTGCATTCTTTCAGGAAACGGAAAAGGAAAAAGCCAATATTGCTTAATATACCAAAAAAATTTGTTAGATAAAAAATAAATAAATTCTTACAAGTTTTGTGTTGATGCTTTCTTTAATCATTGTTTCATCTCATTCTCGCTCATTCCAGAGTATTTGGCAAATTTCATGGCAAGTGCCGTAATTTTAAATGAGAGGAACATTGTAACTTATATTATTCTCAGTAGAAGTTTGCCCGTCGGTGCAGATGCTTGCCTGTAGAGTTCCGCGTACGAGTCTAAAATATAATTCGAATTGTAATGTAGTCACAATTGTAGAAAGTGATGCTTTTATATGTCCGTCACAGTTGGTGTTTTAGCTTTATATAGAGTTATTGGAATTGTAACTATTCAATATCTATTAGATTTCCAGCAAGTAGCTGTCCATGAGATGTTGAATAACTTGCATCGTATTATTTTTAGTGAGAATTTTTAGCAGTTGTAGAGAGTAAACATTTAAGTTAATCTTTGTATTTGAATCGTATTTTGCGTCTACCGTAAGCCATAAGTCGAGCCTGTAAGTCACCAATACATAGAGTAATTTCTAAAGGTCTTTCAATTAGATACAAGTAGTTTAATTAAGTTTAACAGCAAAACGTTAGACAACTAGATTACCAACTAAAAGACAGAAGCCCTTAGTTATTATAACTTAGCAGAAAGTGTGTGAAGAATGGTTATCAAACAAAACATTTAAAACAGCATTCTGGTGCCTTTCTGATATTACTGATAAGAATGTATCCAGTTGAATAATTGCTCATAACACTAAAGTTTCAAAAATGCTTCTTGACTCCGAAAAGTTGTATGCAGATTTTATTTTAAAGCCTCTGTTAATTACAGAAAATAATAATATAAAAAAATGTGAAAAAATTAGTTTTCTGCAGTTCCTGAAATTGAAGATCTCTGAAATAACTCATTACTGTTTGTTATTCTTGTTTTTAAAGACATATGTGTATGATTTGAATTTCCATTGTGCAATATCTGGCATTCGATTAAAATCAGTTTCTCTGTTTTTACTTTGCGTTCTGCATTGTTATCATTTTTTTTATCATTTTATCACTATCTCTTGAACTTTACGCTGCCATTAGTCATAAGCGACTTCAAGGAAAAATTATGCCGCCGGGAATTTACCGAAAAACACCTGTTCGACAAACGTATGCCCATATTCTTTCAAATGTATTCTGAAAGCAGTAAATATAATTTCCGGTCAAAAAGCAAAATTCCTTTCTTCACTGTGAGGTAATCCGGGATGAGGCATTTATGTGTTAGTTAAATTATTATTGAACTTGGTGTTTGAAGCACGTTTCAAAGGTGCGGTTAGATTCTAATGTTAGGTTTAAATTTATTGAAGTAAAAGGCATTTTTTATGTATCATATGAAATATTAGTATTATTTATGTATTATCACATCATATCGTCATCGCATTGTCCTTTGATTATTGAATATTTCCGATTCATCTACAAACTCACTGGAAAATTATATAAATCTTAAATTATCTCGAATATTGTGAATATATCCTCAGAAATATTTTTAGCCAAAAAGAAGCAAATTATGCGACGTTCTGTTAAAAGGCCCATCATGAACAGGCTGCCGAGTCACTGAAGAAGCCTTCTGGAAAATTGACACTGCATTCCTTAACTAATTAGTAATATTATATCAAATTCTATATTTACACAGTTTGGGTACGCAAAAGAATTCCATGTTTGGAATAAAATTTCACTACTAGCAGTCTGTTATAATTCTTGTTATTGTATTTACTGACTTTATCATAATTACATTATAAATTAAACAGCTCTGTTATTTATCTCAGAGAACACGCATCTATTTTTCAACATAATACGAAGGAGCATCGAGAGACGACATCTTAAGAAATGATTTCAAATGAAAGAAGACAAAAAAGAGCCCGTGATTTAGCATTGTGTGGATGAGAGTAAGAATCAGGATTATACATGTGTGCATTCTTTCACATTTCTACGTACATGTTAGAAATGAGATGCACGAGGTATAACAGATTTAAAATGTTATCTTAGTCAAAACAAACAAAATATTAAAATTACCATTTTAGAATTATTTTAAAGTTAAACGTTAATTTATCACATTATTTTTAGACCAAAGGAAGGGCTATTAGTCTCGAAATCCCATTTTGCATCGAATCACTCTAAACGGCTGTATCACTTTTCGTACTGTTCCTACCAATTATTATCGCCTTGTATTATACTTAAAGAAATTAAATAATTAAGAGTTTGCATGAATGAATGTATGTATGCATCTCGCATTGTGAAAAATAACGATACGTAGAGCAATCCAATTTTTAATAACATAGTCCTCCACTCGATTATGGGCACCTGGAAGCTCAAATCTTGAATTTCGAATTTGTTTTATTATATATTTCATACCTTTTAAACTTTAATGAATTTTTGATTAAGAAACCCAACGATTTCAAAGTGAGCAGTGGCAACACACTGCACGGAATAAAATATTTTTGTTTCCAGCGGCAAGACTGTCTATCAGAAATTCTAAAGATAGTCTAGTTTAAATATTATTACCTCAAAGGAACGTTAGCCCAAATGGCAACGAAACGTGTTTGTAAATAAAAAAAAAAAAAAAAAAAAAACCTTTAGGGGTAATATAAAATCTGAAAGCTTTCAGTTTTTTTTTTTTTAATTTTTTTTTTAATTTTAATTTCTTTTAGAAAGGTCTTTCGATAAATTTATATTTGCATGAACTTTTACTTTTTAGTTTGTGATATAAAACCTTATACATCGTACTAAAATTCAAAATACTGTTCTGACGCAATCCATGAAACAGTTACACGTTCAATAAATAATATAACAAACATAATCTGCTTTTAGTGAAATCACTTGAAATGTTATTTTATCTTTGTTAACTTATCTTTACTTCTTTACTTCTAGTTTCACTTATGCAGAAACTGAAAATTTATGAACTGTTTGCGGTATCAATTTGTCAGGTGATAATGTTATGAAGATCAGCGTTGTAGAGCTTCCATTGATATTCTTATCGGAAAGACAAAAAGTTATAAAACCACAATCCTCTGTGATAACTGTGCATAACTCGTTAAAATATTAACAGAATATTTGCAAAAATCTATCAATTATCAAATATGGATAGATGGAATATCTCGTTAAATTCTGCAACGGAATATTGTTTTCAACCGTTGCCTGCTACAGAAGGTGATCGGCAGAGCATAGAAATTCCAATAGAAAAGATGTTTGACAGGCTGCTTCTTCATCCGGGCCTTCAGACTATCTTTCCAGTCTCCGAGAATCGTGATGTGATAATAAACATAACGCGAGGTGCTTTGATGAGTCTCATAAGGTAAGTTTCCTACTCCATTTCTGACTTTCAATATCTGGCATAGAATGCATTCAAAAATGATGTTAATATAAGCGAATATTAACTGCGATGAAATATGAATTATGTCAGGTTTACTTGACAATGGTTAATTTTGATTCAAATAGTGCTAAATATAATTTTATAGAAAAATAAAAATAAGGAATATCAAATAAGCCAATATATATCTGAATTTAAGCATTAAATAATGTATTTGAAAAACAAATTTCCTTATATGATCGAAATGAAACCTTAGAAAGTTCTCGCGTTCCTTTCAGTGTGAAAGTTTACTCTGCAAACTTGTAAAATTCATAAATTTTCTGTCTAATGGATTTCAAATCTCAAATTCCAAATTTCTGTCTAATGGATTCTTAAGCTCATTTCAATGGTAAACGTTCTGATCATATAGCTACGTCTGTTTTCTGACAAGGAGTTTTATCATTCTAATTCACTTATTTTGCGTCATTTATATAAAATTTCGGTTTTGCACTTAATTTAACCTTTTTTGTTTAAAAACTTGTATTAAAACATGCAATATGGCGAAATGCCATTAGTAAACAGGAAAGTCTTTTTAAAAATTAATAGCTCACTGCCAAATTACATAAACCTTAGTCAAAGTTGCTCTCAGATTACGGAAAATTTTCTATCTTGTGTTTCTTTGAAGATTAAACGAATGAGAAAAAATATAAAGAACTTCAAAAAATCTTTAATTAAATATCTGTCTTAATAATTATTCTTTTATTAATAATCATTTATTGTCTTACATGATATAAAACGATGTATTGCTGTAAGAATATTATTCTTTTTTATTCTCCAAGAAAAATGAGATGGCTTAGATCAGTTGCTTCAAACTGGTGGCCCGGGAAACATAAGCGTCCCTCGAAGCAATTTTATGCTACCCGCGAACACAATTCAGTTATGCATTTGGTTGCAAATAAGATGTTGGGAAAATATAAGGATTTTATTTATTTGAAATTCAAATTTATATTATTTGCATTACTATCAAAAATGAACGCGGGTAACTGAACAGAACATATGTACACCGAGCTAAATAATTTACAATGTGATATAAAATATATTCAAATATTTGAAGATACAGATTTGTTTAACTTATATTCGTGCTTATGTGTTAAATGTAAGTACGTTCAGTTACGAATTTTTGCACTTAGAATAATCGCTTTGTTTGGAAATGCATTTATATGCAAAATGCTTTTTTTCATAGTTGAAAATTATTAAGGAAAGAACCCGATTTGTTAGCAGCTACGGTTCGTGATGTAGATAATTTTTAGTAATTTTCCTTCAGCGCAAGGGTATTATGAAAACGAATTTTGTATTTAAATACAAAAATTTATAATTATTTATGTAAAATCATATGTATTTTAATTTGCGTGTTGAAGAAATTTTAATAAACAAGAGAAAGAGATTAGGTTGTCATGATTTATTCTCAAGTTTTGTCTCACTTGAAAAGTTTTCTCTTATAATTAAGAAAGTTTTCACAATGTTATTATTTTTAGTTTAAAGTAAGTTATTTAAAATTAATTAATAATATTAGAATTATTTAAAATTAGTCTGCAGTATTAATATATAAATTTCAAGATATGTGAATCCCAAGATGTAACTAGAAAGATTTCTTGCGAATAGCAAATTTTAGATTTCAGACAGAAAATAAATATAAATTTGAATTTTTCGTTCTTGTTATTATTATCGTTGGATCTTTGATGAATATTTAGTAATCGGAATCTAAAATTTAGATATTTTGTTTTATTTTGCTGATAAAAAACGTCCATTTTGTCAATAATAATAATAAAAAAAAAAAAAAAATCTAGCTCGCCAGCTGTTTTTAGATCGTACACTCGATTTGCTGTAAATTTGAGTTTGAGATCACTTTACAACACACTATTAAACATACTACACGCATTTTCAAAGTATATGGTTTACATGAAAGATTCATCGAGTTTTACAACACCGTGTTTCAACAACTGTTAGAAATGCGAATGATGCATAAAACGTTAAATTTAATTTTGCGTGACTACTTCAATGGAAACTCAATGGGTTGGATTGGGCGATGAACTGAAGTTGATTTAGAGCCATTTCTATAGTCACCGCAATCTCCAAACTTCCTCGGTTTGTGATTTCATTCTTTGGAGGTTTGTTAAAAATTTGTTTTACATGTCCTCCTTGTGAACTCTAGATGAGATCAAAAATCTTATTGCCAATGCATATACTAGTAGTAGCCCAGATCTATAAGGTAGATCTGCTACTACAAGTATACATATACTAGTAGTAGCAGATCGAACCCGAATACCGATAGACGTGTGTCGTGTGACGTGAGGAAACCATACTGAAAATTTATGATAATATGAAGAAAAACTTGAGTACTTGATACTTATTCTCCTATATAGTTCATGGTTCCATGTTTAACATATTTTTTGAAACATATAATTTCCTGTATATTCGTGTTTTCCTTTACATATGTTTTCCTGTTATCATCCCGTATATTTCCGTACTCAATAAACACAATTCATTTAAAGTGAGATATTTATTTTTATAAAACTTGAGAATGAAAATGATTTTAATCAGTTAATGTAATTTCATAAAAATATTTACATTCAAATTAGATACATCATGGATTATATTCATTTATGTTAAATTAATGAAATTGCAATAATATAAAAAAACTGCGTTTTTTGCTGTTAATTCGCTTAGTTTGTTATTCAACAACAACTGACAAATTAAATTTGAAAGTTGATGTTTTACTTTTTTTGCTCGGTGACAACACATTACTTTCACCGAGGCGAGTTTGTTGATTAAACGTGAAAGATAATCTTACACTTTGTGGAATGCGAACACAACTGGCGCAACGAATTTAGAAATATTTTATTTCGAACAATGGCAACACATCGCTTTTAAAGAGTTCAGTTTGTTACTCAAAAATCTATTAAATTCACGTATAAGGGGAAATAAATTTAAAAAAAAAATCAAAATTAAAAATTCGTGTTTCGAGGTGCTCATATTCAAGGATTGGACAACTTGTTTCAAAATTTGTTGGTTCTAGGTGCAGAGATTTTTCCACAATACGAGGAATACACACAAACAGATAAATACATATGTATCAGGACTTAGAAGAGATCTATCCCTGCATACGCATATCTATCTATTCTAAGTTCTATTTATCCCTACATACTTATACGCATTCACGCACGTACACAGATACAGACGCATATATACACGTATATATGCGTATAGATTTTTCATTATTTAAGAATAACAATTTATAACCAAAGGGTTTATTTTAAACATTCTTCAGAGTTCGTAGTAACTTCTCTGAAAGGCTACGACGGGAAGATTAGTCGCCTGATATTTACATGGAGCCAGAATGTAGCCCTAAAGTATATAGACACAGTACAATATGTGTAGAATAATCAGAAACTGTATGCTTTCTATTCTATTATATTTAATTTTATATAAAAATTTCTGCTTAAAGACTATTAACAGTTGTTGTGAAGAATTTCTTATTGTGATTAATATAAAATATTTAAGATGTTTTAATGTTTTATTTCTAGGTTCCTTACTTCTGGGACATGTACCATTAATGGCTGGACAGACTGTCTGGTATTGTATCACACAGCTACAATGTATGATGTGAGGTATTTAAAATGCCTCTGCGAAGAATTCTTCGCTGAAAATCCTATAACTGCAGAGAACGTGCACGAAATCCATCCGTTAGCTACGCGCATGGGAATAAATCCAGTTATTCAAGCAAGCGCAAAAGTTCTGGATGAACTTTCCCGTGCACATAGAGGTTCTGTGCCTCCGTATCACTATTGTTTCGTGATAAATTCAGAATACATAGCTCCCTTGCAGTTGAAAGTGCCTTTAGGCAGTATAAAATGCAGTTGGTTCGATGGTTGTGAAGCCGATGTAGTGAATGACATTATTTTGCAATCGGCTTCAAGAAAGGGACTCTTTCACATTCTGGGAATTCAAATAAAACTGAAGCTTGATAATGCAGACGATATGTCTGCACTGAAAATCTATGTCGAAGCATCCAACGATAAAGAATACATTCGATTCCAAGAACAAAGATCCAAGATAACAAGTCTTACTCCAGTTATAAGGTTCCGGCGGAATTTATTGTTAAGACCTGAGCAGTTGGCATCGATCCATGTCACGATTCATAATATAAAGCCAAAGTATTGCTCTACGTTAAAGAAAACATGTGCTTTTCAAAGTTTCAAAGAAGGCAAACTGATAGCTACTTTTAAATCAAATCGAACTGGCTCAAACAAGAACGAAACTCGATTTTTTATAGAAAGTGTATTATATGTGAGACAATATCCAAAAGCAGTTTTATGAATGTAATTTAGGATGACTTTGCAAAGAAGTAACTTACCAGATTAAATTCAGAATACTTGTAAAATATGGTCAAAATTTCTCATTGGTTTATAATTTCCTTCTGTTAAAAACTCATAAAAATAGACTGTTTTGATTAAAATTACTGTGTTACAAAACGCTGAACACTATTTATTACTTTTGTTAAAAATTCATAAAGAGGATATCAAGTTTTGATTTGTAATTATCGTATTGCTTAACAATGAACATTATTTAGTGCTTTTGTTAATTCAAAGAAATAGAGTTTTAATTCATATTACTATATTGTATAATAATAAATATTATTTTTTGATTTTTTAACTCATAAAATAGACTCCTTTTTCTATTTATATTACTGCATTACATAGCATTCGATACTGTTTCAAACTGGAGGAAAACGAAAATATGTAAATCTAGGATTAAGTAAAACAGCAATCTTATTGTATTAAAATAATACTTTTGCCCCTGAGAAGGAGGGACCTGGGTGGGGTTCGAAATTAGCAAAGCTTTACTCAAAACGTACGCTTAAATAAGAATGTCATTTTACCTAAAATGAGTACCATGTATTATATTTGCTAAAAACTCGCAAAACATAGACAGAAAACTCAAACAAAAAAAGGTTTCATTTATATTATCGTTTTGCTATTAGAATGATCGTTTGCGGTTGAAATTGAGTATGAAAATTTATAACGTATCATTCATTTATTGACATGCAATACAGTTAAAAATATTAAAGACATGATATTTTTATCCGAATATATTTTTATTGAATCGAATTCTTTTTAACAAAAGGATGCGTAATATTATTTCTTTTGCTTAAAAGTCAGGAACTGTGCTTTATATTGATAAATTACATTGAAAAGAAATCTATCTCATAAGGAAAGCACATTGCGGTTTAAATGAAAGTATCCTTTAAATATTTCATCTATGTATTTAACTCTGTCAATTATCACTTTATTCGACTATTTTCAACTGGATGATTATGCATGTAAAAGCAAGTTAAAGTAAGAGACATAGATATTAACCTTAGTTGAAAATTATTTTCAGTTTTAGAAAAAAACTGTCTAATTCCCATATTAGGTTACTAATTCAAATACCAGCCGCAGCAAAAATAAATAAGAAAATAAATCATTCCAGAGCTTCAAGTTATTCGTTCAAAGCGCAAAACTAATATAAAAGTAAAATGGAAAATAAATAAAGAAAAAAAATTAAAAAGTTCAAATAAAAGTCTGCAGGTTTTACGTCCAAAGAGACTTTTTTTTAACATTTTGTGTGTTATTTTTATTTATTACATATCATGTTCTTTCCCCTTAAACCATAAAATTCAGTTCAATAGCAATGTCGCAAAATAATTTTAAAATGAGCATATCTATAGAATTTCCGATACACAGTTCCGCGCGCTGGGGATAAAAAGTCCCGCCTCGTAGAGTGTTGCCATTGATCGCTTTGAAATCCTTGAATTTGTTAATCAAAAATGTTTTACAAAATATGAAATCGATAATAAAATTCTTCAAATAGAATGCAGGACTCTAACATTTGGTGGCAACAGTTTGAAACGTGAAACGGACATTTATAGTGATTCAACGCAAAATCGCAAAACGAAAATAGTCCTTCAGGGGCAAAGCCCCTTTGGACTAAAAATATTTTTGTGAAATAATCGAAATTTGTATATTAGATTGATTTTCAAGAATGATATAATAAATCCAGTTTTATATTAATGAATTAATTTTGCATCGGTTCTTTAGCACCGTTTGTCTATTGAGACAGGACCGTTTTTATCAATTAATTACTATTTAAATCCTCTCATATAATTCTTGGCATACAAAACATTTAACTGAGAAACCTGGTTATGATCCATCGCCTCAGAATAATATTTCACCTCAAACAAACATTTAATAAATATTAATATACAGGTTAATCGAATGGAAAATTAACTGAATATGGAATTCAAAACAGCAATGTATTATGATTAACATGATACATATTTCATCGCGACATAGAAAATAGCTCCAAGCATAGTTCAGATTCCATTCTATGAGCGCTTCAAGTTCCATTGCTCAAGTTCCATTGCTCAAGTTCCATGCTTCAAGTTCCATTGCTCAGCTTCTGTTCTCTCTGCTCGTCGTGGATAGCTGCAGATATACTTCGTAATAAGGTTTCCCATAGTATTTAAAAACTTTGGAGTGCGAAACATAGAATTATTGCTACCACTAGGTTGCAACTGACGCGATGACCAAATCATGCTCTCCGGGACTGAGATCTTAAATTAATTTCATAGTGCAAAGAGATTTTCAAATTGAAGGGAAAATTGTTTGTTATGTATAGTTTTTAAAGAGCTGCGGGAAAAAGTTACACTATAGTTAGTGTTTGTCTTCAATACTGTATTATATTATTCTATATTTTATTACGCTACATAATTCAGCACATTAATAGAAATTTCCAGATAATTTCAGGTGCCCAGTCAACATAAATCTCTCCGTTTGAAATCGTCGTCGCATGTGAATTTTTCTATTTCCTCTGTTGTCTAAAACCAGTTCGTTTCATCTCCAGAATGTCTTTGTAGCAACTTTGACATCAAACATGGTGGCATATTTTATACGGTGCAATTTAAAGTCTTCGATATATTAGTGAGTTACTCAAAAAAACTTCATTTTCAGGTCAAGTGAAACCTATACTGACATAGCTGAATTGACAATTTCAGAAATTCAGAGAGAGATTCACATCTGTTGTCTTAGAACAATGATTTGTATATTATATGATAGCTTTTACATCCTGTTTGTATAGTCGTAGTTCAAAGGACAGTGCAAATGCTACTCTAATTCATTCTGAACGTCTTAGTTCAAAATTATTTGACCGTGAAATCGAGACACTGATACAAAGGTACCTTTTAAAATGTGCCATAAGTCAGTAATGTGTCATCGAATGGCTAGAAATGAGCTCCTGGGAGAAACACAATGAAGAAATTCCTCTCTTCTATGAAGGCAAAAGCTTTCAAACTGATTCACTAGTTTTAGCATATTTACAAGTCCAGTTGTCAGACTGAAATTGTAAAGCTATTTTTGTTTCTTTGATACAAAATTTATATTTATGCTCATTTGTTTGAACAACAGTGCCATCACAGTAAACGTCCGTGTTTGAAGGTTACATATGGGAATAAAGACAGAAAAATCTGTTAAAAATGAACTGATAAGAATGTAATAAAAACCTGCTTGTATCTGTATACAGGTACGTGGGAATTTATACTTGTTTATGGAAAGGTATACCTATATATCCATGTAGTAAATATGTCTGCATTTATATAATATGGTATAAACACAGGTATATACATAAAGTGGAAAGAATGCGTACCCTTAAATGGGAATAAAGTATATATACACGCGTACATGTACACACACAGGCACACATATGCATTTATATATGTGTGTTTGCCTGTGGATTTATGCATGTATATATATAGATATATTTCATTAATTATATACATGTATATATATATATATAATTAATTATATACACTGGTTTGCAAAAACTAAGGACGAGACGGTTTTTTCAATATAACTTTGTACAAAAGCTTTCCAAATCAACACATTAAATACCGTTAGATCCCCAATACGTCAGGACATGAGTAATGTAAGCAACACTTACTAAAAGAGAAATCAGAGGGATAAAAAGAAGCTTTATTGAAAAAGTAGCATGGAGCGCAAAGCGACTGAAGGCCGAAACATCCCTGTGATGGGTGTCCAGCAAGAAACATCCGGTCTTTAATAGGGAATATGATCTCCCGTGACTGCTAGGTAGGTTTCACAGCGTATGCCCATGCTGAGAATGAGGGTGTCAATGAGTTGTTGAGGCATTTCTGTCCATTCGTCTTGCAGCGCCAATCGAAGCCCGGAATCGTTACTGGCGGTAAGGTACGAGCTGCCAAGCGTCTGCCTAGAAAATCCCATACATGCTCGATGGGATTGAGATCCGGAGATCGTGCCGGCCAATCCATACGTTCAATATCCTCATTCTCTAAGAGCTGTTCGGCAGCTACTATGCGATGACATGGTGCATTGTCGTCCATGAAAAGGAACTGCGGACCCATAGCGCCTCTAAAAAGACGCACATATGGAAGAAAAATCTCGTTACAATAACGGGTCCCGTTGACTGAACCTGCGTCGAAGATGTGAAGGTCTTTACGACTACCAAGTATGATGCCTCCCCAAACGAGAACACCGCCCATCTCCATACCTGTCCCTTTCAATGATGTTCGAGGGATGATTGCGTCTTCCCCACTCTCTCCAGATGAGTATGCGATGAGAATCGCTACTCAGACTGAATCTGCTCTCATCTGTAAAGAGTACTCGTCTCCATTCATTGTCTCTCCAATTCCGGTGTTCCCGGCACCACAGAGAACGCCTTCTCCGATGTTCAGGCGTTAGAGGTACACACCGTACAGGGCGTCGTGCAAACAGACCACCTGCCGCCCGCCTTCTTCTGGCCTGTAAGGCAATATACCGGTCATCTGCGGGTGTGGTTCCTCGTGTACGACCACTACCAAACCCCCCGGATAGCTGTTCCCGTAGTTTGAAATTGTCTCCAAAGTCGTGAAACGATGCTGTGGGCAATTCCGAACTCTGCAGCCACACTTGTCTCACTGCGGCCTTCCTCCAACTTCCCAATGATTCGACCTCGGGTAAAAGCATCCAGATGTCGTCTAACAGATTGATTATTCGCCATTTCTCGCTGAGGCAGCAACTCGGTGTGTGATTTTAACTGCTATACGGCGTGCAATCTCTTGCCAGAAATACTGATCTTACACCGACAACATGCTTTATACTACTCAGACACTCCCCCATTACGTCTACCTGCATATCTGCGCATGTACTACCGTACATCACCTTACTTAATCTCCTGATTGGTCTTTCTGTCCGTTCTGCCTCTTCGTTCAGTTGATATGCTAATTTTTCGACTTCGTCCTTAATTTTTGCACACCAGTGTATATATATATATATTCAATTATATATGTACATTATATTTATATGTATATGTATATACGTTCCACCATGAGTATTTGAAAATGTATAAAGTTTATTCTCTTTATGATTTTGGATCCTGTGGAGACCCATTGATTATTTTTTAAAGATAGGAAAATAGGAAAGAGATATAGAGCAGTTTACTACAGAATTAAAAAATTAGTATCAGGATGATATAACCGTTAATTTTTATAAGTATGTTAAAAAGAAATATTCTCATTTGTTTTCGTGGAAATTTCTGAAGCAAGTAACCTAGAGCCCTACGTCGCATTTTTCGCAAGCATACGTTGACCGCTTCCTTATTCCACTTCTCGG